AAGGAGCTCCGTGCCGTCACCGCCTGTGGGAGGGCAGCCCCGGGAGCTGCCTCCACGCTGCCCGGCAGCATGCTTTCCCTCGGCAGAGAGGCAGAGACGGTCTCTTGGTCCCCTGCACACTTGCCACACGTGTGTGTGCCACCTCGGGAGCTCTGTGCTCTGCTCAGCCCCTGTCCCGCCTAGCCGGGCGTGAGGGCCGGCTCTCAGGAGAGGGAGAAGTACCAATGGAAGGAGGCAGTGGCCTGGCTTCCAGCCTCCTGAAGCAGCCGTGGTTTTGGGATGAGGGAGAACCTTGCTGTGTCCCAGGGGGCTGTCGCTGCTTTCCTTTGTCTGCGTTTGCTGTTGTCTTGTATAAAGTCCTACCTCGGTGAAATGGAAACAATTAATGATCCTGTTTGCTGTACTTCTTTACTTTGTGTCTTCTTCCACCTTGCTGTGGTCTCTCTGGTTGTGCTGCTGCTCCTAGGTTGTAAGCTCTCTGGGCAGGGACAGTGTTCTACTATGTCTATGAAGTACTGTATGCATTGCCACGGTGTATAAAAACAATGCCGTAATCACCATAAAATGCTTACTCTGGATCCCTTTCACTGTCGTAAGTCCCAATACTAGTTACATAAAAGTTGAGTGGCTTCTGTCAGGGTTCCTGTTAGTTTGCTTTTTTCCTTTTCCCAGACCTTAAGGGTACTTGGATTTAGTACCATCAACACTGATCAAGTGATAAGGCTTCTTGTCTGCTTCCACCATTCTAGTTTATCCATAAATGAAAGAAGGCAAAAATGATGAACCCTATTTGACAGCTCTTTTGAGCGATCAGTGGTGAAAAACACCGGCAAGTTGCTGCAGCTGGTCTGTGCTATCCAGTGTAGGAAGGTCTTCATACCCAGCACTATCTGTAACTTCTTGAAATACATCCTTGGCTCACTTTGGGAGGTTTGGTCCCATCAGTACATGCCAGTTCATTATAACATGTTGTCTGTGTAACATGCAGGACACATCAGCAACTGCGTGTGCCAATATGTTTTCAGTTTAAGGAGGAGGGCTAAGCACATCCTTCAGAAGTTACTGCACCTGCAGTACTGCCTGATGAGGCTCCTGCCTTGCGGTCCTAGGGCCCCTCGAGCATGCCAGTCTGAGCTGCTGCCCTGGGCTGGGCTAACCTTGCTGCCTTTCTGGCAGCAAGCTGAAGTGCAGTGACGGTAGAGGGCACAGCAGGGTTGGAGTTCAGGAGGAAGTTTGAGTAAACAAATATTGCACAACACTCACCTGCTGAGGCGATTAAAGGTCTGTGATTGCATTGGTAAGCTCTCAGATGCTTTTGCCTGTGGGCTTAGTTATTTTTACGGGCTTAGTTATTGTTACCTGCTTAGTTCTAAGCAGAGACCAAAACTCCAGGTTTCTGCAGTGTCCCGCACCTTTCCTTGCTTACCCTGTCTGGAAGGATGGAAACATCTTCCTAGGTGCTGAAAGGGTCAGGTTCCTCAGCCCTGGCCTGCATCACACTGATTCCACAACTGGCAGTGTAGACATCTGAGCTAGTCCCTGCTAATTCTTGATTGTTGTTGGCTCTTACCATTCTGCTCATCTGAAATAATCAGCAGAGTTTTTATGGACAGGAAGGGGAGCAAAATTAATAAATTCAAATAACTCAGCCGGCACACCTGACCAGAGTTTTTACTTAAGAGATGATATACAAAGGAGCCTACTTCTCAGGCTACTGTGGTGTTCAGTTAAAAAACACTCTTATGTATACAAGATTATGCTACTGCGGCCCTAACTTTGGTGTGAGGTAGGGTGTCTCCAAAGGCCTGAATAGAGTTAAGTAACCGAGGTAGATCGTAATTATTTAAAATGCCTTGTTTCCCCCCAGTCCGTTGCCACTGTATTTAGGGCTGCCAGAGAGGACCAATCTGCAGTGCTATTTCAGAAACTTCCCTGGGGGGAAGAATGGTGACTAAGAGAGGAAAAGCCTGCCTGTTTCTCTCCAGCTGGCAACATGAAATTATGATTAAGAGGAGCTTTATTGTTTCAACAGACCTTCTTTTGCATAACTGTTGTTGTGCAGATGAAAAAGTACCAAAGGCTAAAACAGCCTGGCTGAGGCCTTACAGCTGGTCTGGGTCTGGGATATACTGAGGAAAATAATTCAGGAGTTCTCGACTCCTAGCCTGTGGTTCTCTGAACCACAGAAGTTGTTATTAGTGAAGCTCTGGGGCTATTTTATATAGCAGAAATTTATTATAAAAGTCTTTTGCTTAAATTATGTGCAGTTACGTGTCTGTAAACGTTGATTTAAACTGTCTCTGAGGATAACAGATCAGATATGGCTAGTAGTATTAGCATGGCAGAAGGTGGTACGTATTCACAGAGGAGTGTATTTTATTTTTTATGCTCTCAGTCCTGATGTCTGGGACCAGATGCTGCCCTCTTAGCAGAGATCTAGCTGAAAAGTGAGTATTTTGAATGCTGGTCTTAAGAACTCTCTGGTGGACACCATTTAAAGCTCAGCATTCCTCATGTCTAGTTGTATCTAGGATAACAGGTGTTTTTCAGGGCTTAGGTGCTGTTTTGTGTGTGCTGGTTCAAAAACCCTGTTTTGTTGTCAGAATGAACTTGTAGTGCTATGGCTGAGTGGGCCAAGTAGATCTGGGATCTTTCCTGCTGTAACACGGATTTCGTGTTTACTTTTTTCTAGTGTCGTTGCTGAGAAATGGCCAATGAGAATCACGGAAGCCCTGCGGAGGAAGTGTCTCTCATGAGTCACTCACCTGGCACCTCCAACCAGAACCAGCCCAGCTCCCCCAAACCTATGCGACTGGTACAGGACCTGCCAGGTACTGGCTCTGCTTTTGAAAAGGCCCAGCACAGAGTTCTGCAGGGCCCTGGTAGCAGGGGAGAGAAGGTGAAGTGAGGCTGCTGAAGGAGGGTAGAGATGATGCATATTTCAGTGTGCTGTGACGGTAATGGGGACCCGAAGGGCAGGGCTGTTGTTCAGGGCTGCTCCTCTCCTGACTCTCTCACTGTCTTATCAGATGAGCTGGTGCAGGCTGGCTGGGAGAAGTGCTGGAGCAAGCGGGAGAATCGCCCTTATTACTTCAATCGCTTCACTAACCAGTCTCTGTGGGAAGTGCCTGTTCTGGGTCAGCACGATGTCATTGTAAGTAAGCAGTCATCTCGAGGGGCTATGCCAACACTGGGATATTCTGCAGGGGCAGATGCCGTGGTCTTGTGGAATTCAGATTGCACATGTGGGAGGGTCTTCTCTGCCTTCAGAAGTCGCTAAGTCCATCGTCTGGCTTGGTTCTGGTGAAATGTTCCTCCTTCAGGTGCACACTCAGGTAGTGCAGTTCGAGGTGTAGTACGCTACTCAAACAACACTCAACCTGGGGGAGTTGTGTTGCATTTTTCTCATCTAAATCTTAAAAAAAAGCATACAGACACAGATCTAGAAGAGAATTTTTTTAGCTTTCTGCAGGTGTGAGTATTGGTGTCCTTATTTCCATCCATGTGGGAGCTGGGGGCAGTGAAATGGGAAGTTAAGAGGGCTTATTGCCTTCATTTGGGATTCTGTGGTGGCAGCTGATGAGCTAACGTGTGCTGCTGTTGTTTCGACACTCATAGTCAGATCCTCTGGGATTGAATGCGGCTCCGATGCCACTGGAAGGTGGGATGGTAGATACCTCTGTGGAGAGCAAGCAGAGGAAGAGGAGATTCTCTGAGGAGGTTCCACCAAGTGGCAACAGTGTGAAAATACCCAAGGTGGGTCTGGTGCTGTGAAACAAATAGGCTTAAAGATGTTGTTCAAACTAGCGGGTCTGGAGCTTGGACTTTTTTTTTTTTTTTGAACTGTGCAAAGTCAGGCCATCCTAGTATAGCTCAGGCTGTGACAGGTGACACTCCAAAAATACAAAAGTGGAAGGAGACTCCGGTCCTGCCAGGTTGTCATTTCCCTCTTACAGCTTGAGGTGGAGTATGAGAGTTGGGAGAGAACAGATGATGACTGAGAAACATGGTAGCTTGAATGTCTATGTTAACTTATGCCAACAGCAGGCAAAATGTGCTCTGGCAATTCACAGGGGTATTCTAAGTGGTGTACTGGTGCAGGATTGTTAGGTATACCGGGCTGTTTCCCCTTTACCTGTCTCTGTGCGGCAGTAATTAATCTTTTACACACCCAGGCGGACATCCCAGGGAACCCAGCTGCTCAGCCAGTCCCCAGCTCTCCCAGTATTCCAGGAACCTCTGTTTTGAAGGCCTGGTGTGTTTCACCTGAAGATAAACAGCAGGCAGCTCTCTTACGACCAACTGAGTGAGTTGTCTCCATTTGTGTTCTGTTCTTTTTTGGTGGTAGATTAGAGACACCTGGTTTTCCAGATGTCTTTGAAGAAGAACCTGAGGGACATAACACTCCCCTATATCTTTGCAAGGAGTCTTGGTTGTTCAATTTCCTGGTGGGCGAAACAGTCCAAAGAAGCATCTTCAGAAATAATATTTGATAATTAGCCAGTGATCTGGCCATCCTGATGGCATTTGCTTCTGCCATAGAGTATATTGGGACCTGGATATTCAGACAAATGCAGTGATTAAGCAGAGAGCACCATCTGAAGTGCTTTCTCCACACCCCGAGGTGGAGCTGCTTCGATCCCAGCTCATTCTCAAGCTGCGGCAACATTATCGTGAGCTCTGCCAGCAGCGAGAAGGTAAGTTCTGTTGGGCTCCCCTTATCTGTTTTATCAATCCTGCAGTACTGTGGTGTTCTTCCTTCTGATTTATGTCTGTCTTCTCCTTGTGATCTCATTTTGTGATAGTTATACTCCCTGTGACATTGTTGATTGTTAACTCGTTAGGCAGAACTCCCGTGTGATGATCCTTATCAGAGCTTCTGGGCATCTCTTTATTGTATTGATTAGACCCTTTTTCTGTGCTTCTCCAGGGATTGACCCCCCAAGGGAGTCCTTTAATCGCTGGATGTTGGAGAGGAAGGTGGTTGATAAAGGGACAGATCCTCTTTTACCGAGTGATTGCGAGCCAGTAGTGTCTCCTTCCATGTTCAGAGAGATCATGAATGACATTCCCATCAGGTACTGTTCAAAGACAAGGCCCTTGCTGGGATGTTTTTGTCTTGGGCTAGTCCAGTGATTTGCCTGCTGCGGTTCTGTGCTTTTGCATTTTACTTTCACTGATGAAGTGGTAGAGTGCTGGCGATGTAAAGCTTGGGAACCAGACCTGGCCTCCATGCCTTTGTGGAAGCTGTGGAACTGATGCATGTGATTTTATACTTACCTCAGGTTATCCAGAATCAAGTTCCGAGAGGAAGCCAAGAGGCTGCTCTTCAAGTATGCTGAGGCTGCGAAACGGCTGATTGAATCCAGGTGGGGGTTCCTCTTACAGTGCTGTCACGTTCAGAAAAGAGAAAACGGTTATTGGGATTTTTAGAAGGGGCTGCTGCATCCCACCTTATTCAGCGTTGGTCATCCTCTTACTGAGGAAAAGCAAGGTTAGGAACCTACAGAAGAAAAACAATAGTGCTGGAGGCATCTTTTGGTAGTAATGTTACAGTAAAATCTAATGGTCGAAGCTGAATGTATGCAGAGACAACTCAGAATCTGTGAAAGAGTGGATATGGAATGCCTTCCGTCATTTATCCCTGAGAAAGGAACAAGAGTGTTTGGGCACTCAGTGCTATTAAAAAGCAGCAAGCATAGTGTGGTATTTTATTATACTATGTATGATTTTTCTGACAAGTTCTGCCACAGGACAGACTTGAGGAAGATAGCCTTGTGGGGAAAATAAAAAGCTTGTTAATTGGGTAGTTTTCTTAGAGTCACAATCTCCTAGCAGTAGCTGCATTTCCAAACGAGAGGCAAGATGGACCGTTTCCACAATAGATAAATGCTTTATCTGCCTCTCCTGTTGCAGAGAGGTCAGCAGACAGCTACACTGTGTTTTGGAGAGAGCGTGGCAGTCCCTAGTCATACAAATGTCTGGAAGTACTTTCCAGAGGAGGCCTGGAGGGGAGTGACAGGGTAGGGCCTTGAGGAAGTGTCAGCAGCTGTGTTCCCCCGCTGACAGAAAATGGTTGTGGTGGGATGGAATGTATTGCCATGCAGCCATGGGTTAAATTTTGCTTCTCCGTTTTGTGCAGGAGTGCTTCACCAGACAGCAGGAAGGTGGTGAAGTGGAACGTGGAGGACACTTTCAGCTGGCTGCGACGGGACCATTCTGCCTCTAAGGAGGACTACATGGTCAGTATCCCTCTGCTTGTGCAGCTGAGCGCAGGGAGCCTGGGAAAGGATGTAGGGTGTGTTGGGGCCAGATAGAGGTCCTTCTGGAGAAGGCTGTGATTGCTTTCCTTTGCTTCATGAAATGGGAGTGACAGCGGAATCTGTATACCTCTGGGGGGTCCGGTGGTGGGTTGTGTAAGGGACTCTCTGGTTCTCTGGTTCTGCAGGACCGTCTGGAGCACTTACGCAAACAATGTGGGCCCCATGTGTCTGCTGCCGCAAAGGACTCCGTTGAAGGCATATGCAGTAAGATTTACTACATATCCCTTGAGTACGTCAAGCGGATCCGGGAGAAGCATCTTGCCATACTCAAAGAGAACAATATATCTGGTACGCAGTCAGCTCTGAAGAGCTATAGGGCTACTAGGGCTACAACACTGCAACATAAAGGCAACACGCTCTGGCCTGACCTCATTCAAATAGCGTTATCTGTTGGGAGGGCTGCTCTGAGTCCACGGGATTGAATTTAATAGAGTCAGAGATAGCCAGTCCAGCACAGGTCTTAGCTGACAGAATCACACAGCGCCTATGCAGTGGCAGGGTGTCTTCCGTTAGGTACTGTTACTGGCTGTAATATCAAATATCATAAATTTATGATTTGTCAGGATTAAGTAGCTTGTTAGGAGTTGACCACACTGAACAGGGCATTAGTTCATTTCCCTGGACCGTGCTTTTTTGCTCTGCTTCTTCATGAATTCCTGGGGACAGCTGACAATCCCCTTCCTCATGCTGAGCGCTGTCTGCTCCCCATATTCTCCTTTGCCAGATTTCTTGGGTTCTGAGCACCTTCTGCACTCCTCTACCTCCCAGCACATCCCTGTGCACCCTTTTTCCTTTCCCAGCGGAGGATTCATGTTCCTTGACTTTTCTATGTCTTTCTTCCCAGTTTATGTCTGTACTTCTGCCCCTAGTCACCTTTTCCTTCTTCCATGGCACCTGCTTCTTTCATCACCACCGTTCTGTAGGCCTTTTCCTTTTTGGGTCCTAGCTTATCTCAGACTGCATTCAGATCCCAGTGTCTGCCTTTTACTGCTTGGTTTTGCTGCTTGTCTTCCCACCGGATTGAATCTGTGATTCCTGCCAACTGATCTTTCCCGTGAACTGTCTTTTACGAGGCTAAGCTGCTGTCTGTGATGGGTAACCACAAGGTGGCAGGAAGATTCCTTTCCCTCCTGCACTTGACAGCCTGGGAATATTTATTGTGCATTGGATGAGTTTGGGGCATACTGAAATAATAACAGTAGCAACAAGGAAAGTGTTTTACTTGTCTCTAACATGCCTCATGATGCTGGGATGGTTGTGTGCAGTCTACAGGTCTGCTGTGTTAGAGATGGAGAAATACTGTGGAATGGCTCCTCTCTCCTCTTGCAGTGGGTGATGGAATTAATTTGGGGAATCGGCTCTGAACCTGGGTAGCTGCCTACGAGATCTATGAAGGATCACCACGGTGTTTTTGGGGGGACCAGTCTGCTCTTTAGCCTTATTCCTGTCACTGCATGTTTTGAGGTGGAAGGAAGATGTGTCCCAAGCATCCTTAGATTCTAATGGGTTGCCTTTCTCTTTATTTTCCATAGCTGAGATTGAAGCTCCCGAAGTCCAGGACAGGCTTGTATACTGCTACCCAGTGAGACTGGCCATCCCCTCCCCACCACTCCCCAGCGTGGAAATGCACATGGAAAACAATGTGGCATGTGTGCGGTACAAGGGGGAGATGGTGAAAGTGAGCCGCAACTACTTCAGCAAGCTGGTAAGGTTTAACTGCCAGTCCTGTGTGACTTGTCACAAACTGCTCTTTAGTGGGACGTTTCATGTCTCCGTGTCCAGAGGGATGAAGGGACCTGGCAGAGGCTGTCAGACACTGCCCTAGTAGTAGCAGAAATGAGAACAGCTACTTTCACCTTAGTCGGAGTCAGGCTTCTGCTGGGAATACTTACAAGGTGTTGTGTGTATGCTTCGGATACGTACTGTGCTGCAAGAATGGTTGTACTCGCAACAAGGCAGCCCTTGCTGAGAGGCGCTTGCTAGTGTGGCACATTCATTCATGCTAGTAAAGATCTTGTGGTTCACTCACGTGGTAGAAGCAGATGTTCTGACAAGCCTCCATGCGGAGCCCCACCTGCTCCTGTTGTTCATCAGTGGCCCTCTCCATGTCATGGTATGTTTGTGTACTGTCTTATCCTTGTTGATTCTGTTTGTGTTTAATAGCTGGGCTTTCTCTTCCAGTGGCTTCTCTATCGGTACAGTTGCATTGACGACTCTGGCTTTGAAAAGTTTCTGCCCAGGGTTTGGTGCCTTCTCCGTCGATATCAGGTACTGTCTCATTACAGTTGTTGTACATCAGAAAGCCTTAGTAATAGTGGGGAACTGAACTTACTGTCTTTGCTCTGAGGGAGGTCCACAGCTCTGGGAGCCCGAGGCAAAATAGAGCTTAAACTGGGTCCATTGCCTGCTCCCAGTGTTTTGAGATAGGACTGCAGTCTGGGGAGCAGTTGTGATCTTGACAGGACACCTCAGTGGGGGTAAGGATGAATTTTTATGAAAGAAACCTTCGGTAGTTCTTGACTCTGAGGGCCTGCTGGGGGATATATGTGAAAATTGACAGTGGGCTTGTGGGGCCTGAGTTCGATGAAATATCTAAAGAGCATTCTTGGGTACATGCAGGGGACCTACACGAATTTGAGAAAGGACGAGGGGGCCCTGCGTACCTAGAGGAGTGGGTGCATGGACATGTGGCCCTGGGTCCGTGGTCAGTGAAGGGAGCAGCAGGAACAGCGAGTGCACAGCTCACCAGGGTTTGCTCTCCTCAGATGATGTTCGGTGTGGGTCTGTACGAAGGAACTGGTCTGCAGGGGGCACTTCCTGTGCACGTCTTCGAAGCCCTCCACAAGCTCTTTGGAGTGAGTTTTGAATGCTTTGCCTCGCCCCTGAATTGCTATTTTAAACAGTACTGTTCGGCCTTCTTGGATACAGACGGGTATTTCGGATCCAGGGGGTGAGTCTTACATTCCGGTGCCCTTGCTGTGTTTCTGTGTGGGGGTGTGCACGTGCGATGAGTCAAGACAGGCTGATGTGTGTCTGCACTCAGGGCAGTAGCCAGTTGTGTGATGTCTGCTCAGAAGGATGTGTACTTCAGGTCTGCCTGAAGGCAATGAGTGGGCACGGACTGACTGTGAAACCATCAGGAGTGTCATCAGTCTGGTTAGAGGGCTCTGGTCCCTGGAGTAATGCAGTTTGTAGGTCTAACCACGCTCGCCCTTCTTCTGAAGAATGGGAGACCTGGGTTCTCAAGCAGTCAGCTTGAATCAGTAGTCACCTTCAGTAACTACAGGTGGAGTGTGTCCCCAGTGACTGGTCCTGCTGTTAGAAGCAGCAGGCCCTGTCCTGCTGGGGATTTGGGCTTTCTGAGAGTATGACTGCCTGTTCTGAGGAAACAGGTGCTTTTTAAGGTGTGAAAATTAGGATTCTAGGCTCTCTGATAGGGATCTTTGCCTTTTTCTTCCAGCCCGTGCCTGGATTTCTTCCCTATAAGTGGCTCTTTCGAGGCAAATCCTCCGTTCTGTGAGGAGCTGATGGATGCCATGGTCTCTCACTTTGAGGTACGTTCACTCAGCTGTGGAGACATTCTGAATGGAGCTGTGCAGTCAGTCCACTTCTTCCCACTGCTCCTACACCCTCACAGCAGGGCTATAATGTAGAAGGCAAAGGACAGCAACCGCTGCAGCACCGCTCTGGAAGCAGAAGTGTTTCCTTTCCATAGGACTCATTAGACATGTCATTGCTCAGCCAGCACTGAGATTGTTCATTTTCTTATTGAACTAGAAACTGCTGGAGAACTCCAGTGAGCCTCTCTCTTTTATTGTCTTCATCCCCGAATGGCGGGACCCTCCTACACCAGCCCTGACCCGCATGGAGCAGAGCAAGTTCAAGCGGCACCAGCTTATCCTGCCAGCCTTTGATCACGAATACCGCAGTGGGTCTCAGCATGTCTGCAAAAAGTAGGCTTTTCTCTTGGGTCCTTCTGGGAATGCATTTCTTAAGCCCTATGACAGAAATATCCTATCCCAAGTTGAAATCAATGGGAAGTAGGGAGCAGACAAGGAAAAATGCAGCACATAATCCCCCTGGATTTATAATGACTACTGAGGTACTTCACTAACAAAAAGCTGTGAGTGGTGTATTCCTTGGGTACAAGTCCAGTCTGAACAGGTCGTACATACATCTGGTGCTGTGGTGATCGTCTGCGCCCCTCTGCCAGCCCTCTGATCTGCTGAGCCAGCTGAGCAGCGTTTCCTGGGCTGCCAGATGCCACAGCAATTCTGTGTCACTCGGGGGGAAGCAGAAGCAAGGGGCAGGTAGAACCTTGGTCCTCAGCGGAGCAAGCTGGCCATTGGTCTGCTGTTTAAGCAACAAGTTCAAGCAACAACTTCTTGAAGCAACAAGTGCTTAAACACTCAAGTTCTCTCTACCTGGTTAAGACTAGTGCCTTACCGTGATGAGTCTCCTTCTGCAGTGACAGTGATGTCCCAGTGCACATGCTGGTAGAGAGCTATGTGGCTATGCAGCATCAGTGCTTCTCTGAAAGTTCATGAGCCTCTATCTTTACTCAGAAATGCTTGACGCTGCACTCTGCCTGCTCTTTTCGTCAGAATAATGAGAGAAAAGGACAGAGACGAATAATTGTCCTGACCATGACATGCAGGAAGAGGAGGGGTGGATGCTTGGAAGTGGGTCTGGGTGGCAGTTGTGTGACTTCTGGGTCGGTGGGCCTGGGGAGATGCTGAATGCCCGTTGTCTTCCCTTGCAGAGAGGAGATGTACTACAAGGCCGTGCACAACACAGCTGTCCTCTTCCTGCAGAACAGCGCGGGCTTTGCCAAGTGGGAGCCCACGCCAGAGCGGCTGCAGGAGCTCGTTGCAGCCTACAAGCATTCAGGCCGGACCCTCAGCTCCTCATCCTCTTCTTCCTCCTCCTCATCCTCCTCCTCCTCCTCCTCCTCCACAGCAGACAAAGAGCGGGAGCTGGGCCGAGAGCAGAGCAGCAACCGGGAGACTAATCCCAACTAAGGTCCAGAGGTGCGAGGCAGCAGGGGAGGTGCCGGCGGCCCCGAGGAGGCTTGCCGGGGCAGTGCAGAGACTGCTGGCTGTGCAGCACCGGCCTGGGGGACTCTTGCGCAGCAGCTCCACGGCACCTGCTTTCCTCTGCGAACTGCACGCCGCCCCCGCCCAGGAGCACCGGAGA